GCGGCCATGTTCGTTTGTTCCGCTGGGATACCCTGGGTGCACTGATCAAGACTACCTGCCAGTTGGATTTTGCCAGATGAAGACACGCGGCGCAGAAAAAACCCCAAAAACAAATAAAAATACTATATTGAGTCACTCCTGAGTGCAGTGGAGTAAACACTGCATCTGAGCAACAGATGGTCCAGGAAGGCAGAGCTGTTGCATCTTTACGCTTTGGTCAAGAAATGGACAAATCAAGGGCTTAAAAATAAATAAAAAAGTGCCGTAGTGGTCTGCCAAATCTACAGGGGGGGGGGGGGGGTAGGAAAGTTTTCATGAAAAACCAAAACCTTTACTTAGCTATACCCAAGGTGAGAAGTTTGAGGAAACACCTGAATAAATGAGTGGAGAAATACAATGTTCAGATGCTTCCATACAGGACCAGAGGGGATGAAAGTGACAAACACAAAATCTCACTCCCAACTCAGCAAATAACTCGTCAAATACCGCAGCTTGGTCAGTGGCTCTACACTTTAAACCTATAGATAACTCATTAACGCCAGTTTTAAACGTGTCAGGAAAGGCGTGTCCGATTCTGCCCGTTACATGCATGGTGCACTTTCAAAATAGGTTTATTTATGTTTTAAGCTTACTCACACAACAAAAGTACTTGGTTCGGCTAAGGAAAAGATTGTGGTTGGGTGTGACTGGTGTTAGTAAGTACAGAAGTTGGGTAACTAAACTACAGTAAAATAAGTCAATGTTGACTTGGTTTTAAACAGGACTTTAACAGTTGTCTCCTGGGTGAAAGTCCTGTGTTTGTTTGACCCATCCAACCTCCATCCCTGTCTGTTATAAGCAGACTTTGTTGCTTTTTATACTACGTCAGTCCCTCAAAAATAGGCGTGGATGGGTTTAACAGACGAGGAGCACAGAAGCTGTTCTTTAGACTCGTAGTGAGTAAATCACAGCTGTCCGGTGTCACAGTGCTTGTTACGTCTGTCTTACAGTCTCAAACCAAAAGACATTCAGCTCATGATCATATGTAACACTTAAAGGCAGACTATTCTTACGATTGATTGGCTGAAATTAGGCAATATTTGTCTTTTTTTTGTCTTAAATGATTGATGGACTGACAGAATAGTGGCAACTAACCGAGTGATGGGGGGCTCTAGTAATCTTTCAATCTTTCAGTTCTACATGTTTATGTTTTTGGGGATCTTGATGCTTGAATCAGGGTGGGGATCTTATAAAGTAAAGGGTTGTATAAAATGTGTCAGTTCTATGTTATGTCTGAGAGTGTTTTTGGTGGGAATTAGACTAATTTAGAGAAATAAAAAGTGGAAAAAAAATTATTTTTGGAGTGCATGTCGAGGTGTCCTTGAGCGAGAAAGTTCATTACCGTTACTTTATGTATATGAGGATTGTACTAAAGTTTGCTCGTGTCCATCACATCCTAGTTGTCAGTGTCAACTTGAGACTTCTGTTCATCTTTCTCATCACAGTTGGCATTTGTTGCATGCTGTCATTATATTTTCAGAACCGTTCCCCTCCACATATTAAATGATCTGATGTGTTTGTTGTCTGTTCTGTTGAGACCAATGCTCATGCATCTTAATGACAGATGATTTGGCCTCTTCCAGCTCTGTTAATTGTCTCATGTTGATTTGAAAAGTTGCTTATCAAAGTGCTGATTGCCAGACCTCTTTCATAGCTGACAAATGTGGCTAATTGGCAATCAAACTAATAGCACCCATCTTGGTGTCAGTGTTTGTCATTGGGAGTGGAAGAGTCAAAGTCATTTCCCCATGAAGTGTTCAAATCATGTCCTCTGTGTGTGTGTGTGTGTGTGTGTGTGTGTGTGTGTGTGTGTGAGATAGTGCAGCGACCACCACTTTTATGTGTTCACAGCTGAAATAAATGAGCAATGTTGTACACACTGCGTCTTTCTTTGGGATATAGTACAATGGGAGTCAGCATGCTGGTTTACAGCCTGTTACTGGACCCCTGCCAGTGACAGTGGCCTGAGGAAAATCCATCTAAAGACTCTGAACAACATCTCTGAAGGGTTACAACAGTTGCAGCACATGCAAAGGGACATAACAATAACCCGTGCCGGGGTTGTATGAAGGCAGAGTCTTCTTCAGCACCACGGACAGCACCACCGGTCCGTGAAGGTAGAAAGAAGCCTCCCAGTCTATAAAGAGACTCCTGTCTGACAGCACTAACACAGACTGTCATTCTATCCCATTGAAGGAAACTTCAATGGTTTTTCTGGTGTGCAAACCATAGTGGACCATTCTTTGTTGTGTTCAGTTTATTTCTTTTCCACATTCTTCAATTACAAGCAAATCACGACCTGTGAATAAAGCGCTTTGTAGTCATATATATCTCATTTACAGGACACAAGTTTAATCTTTTAAAAGGCTGGTTTGGTTTGACATTTCTCAGAAAGAATCCCTGTGGGAGCCAGGATATCTAGCATGTGCGTGACTGTATTTAACAAAGACGGTTTCTCCAAACCTCATTAATGCTACAACTGTCATAGCGACAGTCCGACCTTAGTCAGCAATGATGCCATTATTACAGTAGTATAACGTAAGCTGCAGGTTTCTTCCAAGTACTTTTCGGGCTAAACCGTCAGCTGACAGTTCAGCTGTTTGGCTAAATATTGTTTAGAAAAGGTTCAAAAGAAATCGAGTGCCAAAATATGTCAATGAAAAAACTATGGAGGCGTTTTTTAACAAGTCTCTGAATAATACATGAATGGTGGAGGCGTACTCCGCAGACCAGAGAACACATGGACACCACGAGTATAAGATCGCCGAATATTACAACTAAACAGGGAGACACAACGGACTGAAGCACTCGGACCAGATGGGAATTTGGCACTAACGAGACTACGGACAACAATTACAGCAACCAATGTGCACCAACGCACATATGGGTCTGTGAGTATTGTTTTAAGATAAAGCCAGTTTAAAACAGCAGTTTTCAAGTGGGGATTTGATTACAACATGCTGGCAGTCTGACTCTGTGTTCCGTTTGCTCTAATGGACTCTATTCTGAGGTCTGTCGCCACATTGATCTCAGCAGATTGATTGATTCATTACAGCAAAAAGTGGAACAATGACAAAAACATGAAATGACCTGATGTCCTGTGGTAATTTGCATGTCAGATAAGTCCCCATTTAAATGCTACAGACAGGTTGAAAATGTCAAACCCCTCCTGAGATGTTTAAAGGTAAGCGTGTGACCTTCTTAACATCCAACTGACTCGGCTGAGGTCAATAACAGCCGCCTGCTGAGAGGCTGAGCAGGTGGCTGAGTGGAGTCCACTTTGTTCAAATATCTTCTGTTCTCTTGTTGTGAGCGATGCTTTTACGTGCTGTTCTTTCACCCTTATTACAAATGATACTTATATAAAGTTATTGACCGGCGAAAAATAAAAAGATAAAAGGAGGCCAATCGACTGAGAACTCTTTTTGTCCCCTGCTGCTCTCCGACCCGCTGGGCTTGTGTTCATCTCTTGTTCGAGGTTTGATTGTAGATTTAAAAAAAATAAAACACACGCGATCAAAGACATCCTGTTCTTGGACCTCTCTTCTGCAGCCTGATATGTGTGAACCTGGGTCAGCTGCTACTGAAACTGGACATTAATCTTCATTTGATGGCTCGCTATGAAACACGCTGTGACCCTGGAAATAATGCCTCTCCTCTCCTCACGGGGAGGCGTGAGACAGCACGAGGAATCTGCTGGAATTGAATTAGAGTCAGAAACCAAAGATGCATTAAAGGACTGTTTTTGTTTTTTTGGGGAGGACTTTTCATAACCAATCTTCTTTGGACACAAGCAGATGAACTCCTCTATCTTCTGTTGTCGGGTGAATCAGTCAAGCATAAAGTGACACCCCGACTACAGCCGATCCGTCTCGCAGACGTTAACTCGACAGCATATTTTTGAATCCGCCTCATGCAGCGTGGTCTCCGGAGCTAACCACAAACATCTTGCCTCTCATCTGCCTCATGATTAAATTGCCTTAAAGTATCAATCCCATTTAATTACCTTCATTATCATCAATGAGAAATTACCAGCGCCCTACCGGCAGGGTTAATTAGGCTTTCAGGGACGGACAGATTATTTATTTATCTGTGGTCGCCTGCAAAGGGAAGATATGAATTAGGAGTTAACTTCACGTAGAGCCTGCTCTGCTTACTCAAGCAGCTCCGTCAGTGTCTCCTTGGTTTAATTTTTCTTTCTCTCACTGATTCACTTTACTCTCCTGCTGTCTTTCCTTCCCAACACTGCTGCTTCTCTCATCTGTCTCTCACCTCCTGACTCCTCTTTTGTTTGTTTTTAATCCTGCTGGTTTTCAATGTCACACACACACACACACACACACACACACACACACACACACACACACATCTTCATGTACCATTCTGTCTTACCAGTTTACCACGAATCAACAAACATAAAGGACTTAATGTCTCTTCGCTAACAGATGCTCACAGATCACTCTTTGACCTCACATTGTAATTTCTTGCTTGAAGAGTGATTCTAACCTTTTCTTTCTGTTCATCAAGCAACTCCCCAAAATAAAAGAGGTTCTTTGAAGAATCATTTCACACATCAAAAGACCGCGGGAGCTCTCCGTGTCCTCTATTCTACGGCAGCACTAGATTTAACTGATTGGTTTCTTCTTTTTTTTGAGATGAAGTCGTCCAAATCAGTAAAATCGGCAGTTTGAAATGAAAATGTGCCGACTCTTGGATCTTGATGACTGAGAGCTACAGCTCAAAGCCAGTGGATTTCAGCTCAGAGAGAGACGTTTTCATTTCAACACAATTCTCCAAGAGCTAATTTCACAGTTATAAACACCTACAAACCAGCGGAGCGAGAAGTAACTGGTGAGTCTAAATAGGACTGCTGCAGCAGTTGGAAAAACAAGAACACAGACACCACCGGTTTAGAAACGCCAACGTCAACAGGAAGCAGAAACACAAGAGACAGAACTCACTTCTTGGGGGGCACCTGTCCCACGTTGACCCGGACGCAGATGACCTTGCGAGTCTGCATCCCCGTGGAGCAGAGAGCCTGAACGCCGCCGCTGGCTCGGGCACCCACGGAGGTGTTGAGGGTGGAGGCAGAGGGGTCCTCGGTACAGGGGCCCCACGGCCCCGTCTGCCAGTGGTAAACTGTACAAGCGTGTTCATTACAGTTCCGCACCTCCTGGAGGAAACTGCTGTTGGGGCACAGGGCGCCACCTGAGAAACACCAAAACACAGCCAAGATGAAAAATGGACTTCACGGGTAACTTTTCAAACTGGACTATATTTTCCCATGTTTTTGAGTCTAAGTGACGAATGGGGGAAACTGGTCCAGTATTGAGCAAGAGCGCTGCAGCTGGCAGCCATGAAACAGGCTGCAATGTGATCGCATCCGGCAATTCAGATCCATCAGCAGCGTCCATTACAAGTGCTTGTTTTTGCCACTGACGGCATCAGATTGTTGTTACAAGTGTCTGACAGCATCATGGAAAGAACCCGACATAATGGAACATTTAGCAGCTGAAGAGCCAGATATTTCCCTCAGGAACAGAGCTCATAAAGGGGTCTGAATATTTGATAAATGGTCTGAAACACAAATCACAATAAATGACTAGTGACTACTAGATGTATAAATATGCAACTCCAAATTCAACTGCTTGTTCCGCTGTCCAAATAGTGGCCACACTTATCTTCTATTCAGACTTGCAGCTGAGGCACATTTCTCCCGAAAAGGAGATATATAAAAACCCAGCACACCCGTCTTCAACTGTTAACAGATTTCTTTTACCCCTTGAAACTGCTGAATGTGTGTGACCCACTGAATAAAAGCTACGTTCACTCACATTGAACTTCTTTATGATGAGAGTTCCCTTTAGTGCTCCATTGTTTGACAAATACTTCCAACAGCCTTCAGACCTTGTACGTAAAAATTGGAGCAGCTACGCTCGCAAAAATCACTTTAAGCTCCTGAAAAGCACAAGTCTGAATACAGATAACCTTCCACACACCTTCTGAATATACTGTCAAATCTTAAGTCGCCAACTCTGAATACAGCCAGTGTGTACACATACATGCATGTATGCATGTGTTGTTTTACCAATACAAGTTCTTGCTTCATTGCACTCAGTAATTAACATTATAACAGAGGTTCCATGCTTCTCTATTTAATCTCATTATATTTTAGGTATTGCTCACACTACAGACACATCAGAGTGTTCACATACTGTATAAAGGAGCTCTTTGCATGCAGGCGTCTTATAACTGCAACTAACAGGTCAGACTTTCAGTGCACCACTTGTTTTTCCCCATTCCTTCTTTTTGTGTCTCCCTCTCACTTCTCTTTTCAGTCACCAGTCAGTCAGTTGTGTCGATGGAGCCCACTTCTGTTTAGAGAAACCGCCGACACTTCGGGCTTCCAGCAGAGATTGAGAGGCGCTGTGGGACTGCGGGCCCTCGACACCTGTATTTCGCCGCCGGAGTTGACAGAGATCCAGCTCCGTAATGAGCGGCGGCGAAGAAACACACAGTGGGGCCTGAATCTCAGACTGCCGACTCAGACGAGTCTCAGCCTAATGGTTACTGAGCATGACTATACCGGTGTGCTGACTGCGCCGTGCCAGCTCAGCTGACTAACAACGACGGCGATGCTAGAAACAGCTGCATGTTGGACAATGGGGAAAATATAAAGCTTACTGAAGAAAACATAAACTGCAAAACAAAGAAGAAGCAGCGAATGAGAGTTCTTCATGTCTGCTGCAGGATAAACTACGGTCTGCCGGCTCATTCACAAAGTGGAGCAGCTCTCACTTAGCATGCATCTCGACTGTCCCTCGACTGAAAGAGCAAGAGGCACTTGAGCGTCATAAAGTCCCATAATAATCACTGTGGAATTAAATGCAAGCAGTTATGCTAAATCAGTCATTAATTAGGCATATAAGTGTATTCATTAGCACATAATCCTATGCCAACGTATTGGCAGTTACTTCTTAATATGAACCCTGTATCTTAAAGCTTCGAGGAGTTCCTGTAGTTTCAATATTTTTTGTTCTTCATCAATATGCAACACAGGAGCTGCGAAGTCTGCTAAAGAGCTCAAAATCTAATCAGATAATCTGCACCACAGGGGGAACCTGGTGGAGAGACAAAAGCCTCTTTCAGGTATCCTTCTTGAGAATGTGTGTGTCGAGTATGTCACACAGATGTGTGTATGAACAGACAGCGGGATACAGTGTGAGATGATTTCCATTCTAAAAACTACTACAAATACAGCTACCGCATTGCTCGTCTAACGTCAAAGATTTACCAAAAAGTTCTGGAAACTTTGGCACCCGAGTGAGACCTTTGATGAATACAGATATGAGATATGTTAATGTGACAGGGTAGGTGCATGCAGTACATGAAGTAATACTACCGCAGAACAACAGAAAACATGAAAGCACATTCAAGCTATTTCACACATGGCCAACGAGCCCCGACTGTATCACAAGTGGCTGACTAAAATCGAATCAATTACAAGTCACCCTAAAGCTGTTTGGATTCTGTCGTATTTAAAAACACAAAACAAGCTGACAATTTAAATTTTGCTACGTGTCGACACAAAGCTAGTGGTTTAAAACAGCTAAAAGCTAACTCTTAATCACAGCTGTTACCCTCCATCACTGAGATCCAGGCCAAAACTATCGCTGTGACTGTGAGGAAAACAAACACACACACACACACACACACACACACACACACACACACACACACA